GTTGCTACCATAACCCATCAATGTCATCTCTGCCCTCTCCCTCTTATTGTACAACTGATTATCTGGAATTATGATCACTCCCTGTACCTCTATCCAACTCCACATACGGTAATACTGATATCCATTTCTTGTCCATTTCACCCCCCTTCTCCCTTGGAGTTCCTCCATAATAAGGAGTGGTGTTTTGCAAAGCGATTCCTATTTACTAAAACTGAAACTTTAGAAGACACTTGGACCGTCATAAATCATTAAGTCATTAATAAGTCTTGACAGACCTATGATTTTCATGTGCAGATAGTTTTAGGTGACAGAAGCGAGCAAAAGGCTTTTTTTTTTTTATGAGATCCAAGGGTGTCCACCGCCGACAGTAGTGACTAATCCCTTTCGCCGCGGGAGCTCTCCAAAGGAGGTAAACAGCTGGCCACGAAATGCGCTTCATTCCCATTCGAGCAAAAGGCTTTCAAATACACAGGAATCACTTGTTTTAATCCTGGTTCCTTCTCAAGCGATGGCGCCTTTGTGGTATACCGTCCTGACAATCAGGAAGTTGAATTATCATCCTTATAGTCAGAATCATCAATTGATGGACAAAATGAATTTTTTTTGTTTGTAGTGAATAGATGTTGTCAATTTGTTCGAATTTGATATAATGATAATGGAAAGAGCAGTATTGAGTAATTGCAAGAACCTTCCAATTTAGCTTTAGCATTAGCATTAGCATCATGATGTTTTGACTGGAACATCAAAATCAGAGATAACAAGCAAGGAGGATTGTGATATTCCTTAGTCTATACGCAGACTATATTATATAATAGTTAAATTTACAAGCTTCGTGGAATTACAGCGTGGCAAAGAAATCAATATTTCAAACACCTAACCTAACTTGAAAATTTAGATGCTGCTGTAGCCTGTAATGCAACCTTGAGTAGCGCTGAAGATTCCTAGTGGTAATATTTCTCTATTAAAAGATTTCATATTATGACACGAGGAGGATATCAAAAGCTACCTGAGCTCTCTCTCTCTCTCTCTCTCTCTCTCTCTCTCCGTTATTAGTTAATTGTTTACTTTTTAACTTTTTAACTTTTTGGGTCCATTCAATAGTAAGTAAAATTTGAACATGAAAAAAAGGTCAGAATCATCTTCTTGGACTCTTGTGAGCTTATTGCGTCAATCAACACTTTAGCCGAAAGAAATGGGTGAGTCTCAGTGCATTTGTTCATTGTGCTATAATTGATATTTGATTTCCTTTACTTATACAATAAAAGGAGGAGGGTATAGCTAAAGTTTTCTTCAACTCCATATATCAACTGGTTGCAATCACTCACATGAGTCTTTAGAATTTAGATAGATACATCACCGTTGAATATTCCCTTTCTTCTTCTCTTTTTTCTTTTTTTTTTGAAGACGGCCGGTTAATCGATACTCCTGGTGCTTGCTATATATGTACACAGGCAGTCAGAGATAGTTGGACGACCCACAAATAAAGTGAAGTCAGTTAATCGTATAGTTTATTAGACAGTTAACCCAAAAAAGTAAAGTTTGTTAGTTTGATCCAAACATTGATGAAATGAATGCGGCCAGGGTTTTGATTAGAAAATGTAAAGGTGTTATATAACATCAAGGTTAGTAGTACAAGTATCCATTTTAAAGGAATGTGTATATCCTAGCTAGCCAAACAACGACATGCGTTTACATATATCCCTGTCCTCTACCTAATACCCTCTCTCTCTCTCTCTCTCTCTCTCTCTAACTTATAAAAGTGAGTTGCACTCAAGGAAAGGAAGCATATATCTTCCTTTTATTTCCACAAATATATCTCTATCTCTGTATATATATCTTGAATTGGGTTGTGATCAGCCTGATATGAACATAAGCCCCTACTTAATTGTATTTCTTATTAATTTATTAAAGAGTCAAGAAGTAGAGTTGAAAGAAAGCTGATCGCCGCTGACCTTGACATTTGTAGAACAAAGCAATAATGAAAAATAACTGAAAATATTAAAACAGGTACGAAAAAGAGAGCTATAATTAGCTAAACCAGAGTTAAGAGATATATGGTTTGGTAGGTAGGTGTACTCTTCATCGATATCATCAGTTGATCTCGATCAAGACACAAAAGTAATCCCTTGGAATTAATATTAATGGTTCATAAGTTGGCTTTCGGCAGTTTTACAGTTGGGAAGTTTATGTTACTTCTGGACCCAGAAACCCTTTTGTCTCATATCATTTGGTTAGGTGAGTCTCAAATCCGTACTTCATATACCGGATGAATTAAGGGGACTAATTAACGGCCTAATTGAGAATTTGGCTAAACTTAGAGCAGAAACGCCCTTTGACAAGACAGACAGACGGATATAATTAACCACAAACAAGACAAGACAATGCTAGCTATTATTATAAATATGCCACCACCTACCAACCATATATCATCTATCATATATCATATATATGGTAAGGTGGACAAGACCCATTTAAGATCTGTGTCCGTTAAATGTTCGTCACAACATTAATATTCCATCCAAATGGAATTATTATGAGTCCTCATAATTACAATGAAAATTTTATCATTCCGACCAGCGCCAGCTAGCGAGTTTCCATATTGATGATCAAGATCCGGAGGGAGACGTTTTCTTCTTGGTGATAAAGACAATAATTAGGAAGGGATTAACATTAATATTCATCAGATAATTTGGTCTTGTACGTATGTATATATCTATTGAATCAAATGATAAAATTTGTGGTTACGAGCAAGAAACCGATGTGGCTCATGATTTTTATGTTAAACTCTTGCTAACGTGCAAAGTGGAAAAGAGGTAGAAGTTCCGGTAGCAGCAAATGAAACAACTCTTGGAATCAGGTTTAATATGGTTGCTGACTGCCATAAGAAAAGTAGGTGAAACTGGTGAACAGTCGTGAAGAACTCCACCATTGATGAATTTGATTGAACCAGGTTGGATTGTTCAGTTATAATATATATTATAGGCTTGTATGCAAATGACTTGTATTATAATTTCACAGATTTGGGGTTGGGGAGGAAGGCTCTACCTAGCTAGGATCCTCTCATGAACCATAATTAATTAAGCTAATGTAATGTTGTGAGTGAGCAGGCAAGAATTCTTTGCAGCAGATATATATACCACCAGTCAATATATCTTTATGAAATTTCAATGAGAGAGAGAGAGAGAGAGAGAGAGAGAGAGATAGGGATAGGTGGCTGATGAAGAAAACAGTTGAGGTATTACTTTGTGACAGTTACCAATGTCATGCGCAGTGTACGACATAGGGTGGGTGAAGATGGGAGATGTGTTTCCTGCTCTCACGTTTTTTACAAGCAATTTTAGATCTCCTACTTGAGAGAATGGTAGGCCAACGGTCAAAAGAAAGGCTGCTGTCCTTATTAATTAATATCACCAAAATTAGTTTCCTTAATTCTGTGCTGTTCGGATGTTAATTAGGCCATACCAACCTGCATCTAAATATTTTTTTTTTTTTCGCTTTTTTAATATAATTTTTTTGGGTTGTAAGTTGGGGGGTATGCTCATACTTTAATATTAATGGCTAAAATAGGAGAGAGGTGTCTTCCTCCAAATAGCTCATGCTCAGTCATACTGTTCATGACCTATTAATTAATTTCATTAAAATTTTCTATTTTCTAATAGTAACAATCAATTATAACATGCATGGATTCAAACAGGTCGAGTATGACACAGATCTAGGGTTAACTTTATAACTTTCAAAGGTTAAAATCTGAATCATATTTTATTTATCCGGAACAAAGTGAATCATCTTTAAACTAGAAAGAAAATAAACTGGAGAACATATATATATATATATATATATGCATGTTTGCTTGGGAGATGAACAAAGAGAAAGAGGTGATGAGGCAAAAATTAATTAATTAAGGGCTATAGCTTGTAGTTTTGGCATATAATTATTTATATATACTTCACAGCTACAGCTACAGGCTACAGCTACAGGGCCAGAGATGAAGTTTGAGTTAGTTTGACTAAAAAAGAAATAGTTATTATTATCCAATAATATATGAAGGATGTCTGTCCGAGTCTCCACGTGCAGTTGTAGTTGTGAGGTTGTACACTAAATTTGTTAGTTAGGTCTGAAAGGTGATCAAAACCTAATTAAACTACCATCCCATTCGTACACCACCACAAATACCAAACCCACCACTTTTTCTTCTCTAGTTATTAATTGTTAAGAAAATTTGTGTTATTAGTGTTATTGCATCAAATTTCCTCAATTCATACATTACATTAACTACATTTATATAGTAAACGCTAATTTACATTTTTTTTAAAGAACCTCAGCAATACGAGGGAAACTTTATTAATCATCCCCATGAACACCACGTTTAGATATATATGTTGAACTCTATATATAAAGTTATTTAATCTTTCTCTTAATTAAGATAAGGTTCAATTATTTGAATTAGGGTTAGTTGTATGAGCACGTAATCAGTTATATGTAATGATGTAGCATATTTATGTTAATGTTTTCATTGCTTAATTAATTACTTTGAGTTTATATATATACACACACACGTAGAGGAATTAATTAATAAAAAGAAAAAGAGTAAGATGGCTAGGTGGGTTATAAGTAGACGTTGTAGGTTAGAAACTTGGAAAGACGTTGAAAGAGGAACCATATTTCACCCCACCAAGCAACCCATCTCTCTCTCTCTCTCATGTAATATATACATAATATATAATAAAATATAAATTGATGGGATGATGATGATATAATTGTGGTTTTTTGTTAGCCAAGACGTTGCATCAATCGCAGGTGTAAGGTCTGTCCAAACCCTCCCACTCTCTAACGGAAAATACTTTCCATATCTCTCTCTCTCTCTCTCTCTCTCTCTCTCTCTCTCTCTCTCTCTCTCTCTCCCTTATATAATTAATCGATCAAGCTCATGGGAATATCTGTATATCTATCCATCTCTCCTGCAGTAGCTTAATTCTAATTGTCTTGATTGCTTTACTGCCTTGCCCCCACGCTCGTCTTCATCGTTGCAGTTGGCGCTTTATACAATATATAATAGACTAGTTACTACGAAGCTAGCTAGCTCCTATATATTAATTTCCATCGATTCATTGATGATCAGGAAGAAGAAGAGCACTGTACTTGTTATTAAGGAAACAGAGGGGGCGGCCATCGACGATCCAACAGTAGTGCGTAGTGAATTAGATAGGTAGCTAGCTAGGCAGAGAGGCTTAATTTTAACTCCTATTTATTTGATTGTGATCTTCTTGTGTTATTTTAATCAATACACACAATTGATCGGGGATCGAATATACACACATACATACATACATACATACATAAGATGTGCACTAGAGGCCACTGGAGGCCAGCTGAAGACGAGAAGCTTAGGGAGTTGGTGGAACGTTATGGACCTCATAACTGGAACGCAATTGCAGAAAAGCTCCAAGGAAGATCAGGTACTTCTATTTTCTTTTTTCTTTTTCCGATTGATGTGTTTGCATTTGTTATAATTGTTGGCAACTGCTAGCTATCTAATTTGGGTTTGGTATATATAATGAACAAGCTAATTAATTAATTAATCTATATATATATAGCTAAGAACCCCCAAATCATTCTGCAGCTAGCTAGGGCAAAAACTATGTATGTAATTGATTAATTAACAACTTATTCAACTAATTAAGAGAGAGAGAGAGTGGTTAATTGTAATGGATTAATTATAATGAATTGAATGATATTTGCGCGCAGGAAAGAGCTGTAGGTTGAGATGGTTCAATCAGTTGGACCCAAGAATCAACAGGAACCCTTTCACAGAAGAGGAAGAAGAGCGTCTCCTAGCCTCTCACCGTATCCATGGCAATAGATGGGCTATTATTGCAAGGCTTTTCCCGGGACGCACTGATAACGCAGTGAAGAACCATTGGCATGTCATCATGGCACGCAGATGCAGAGAAAGATCTAGGCTTCACGCCAAATTAATAAGGACTTCTTCTACTACTAGTACTGCTGTGCCTCAATCGTCATTAACGACGTCCAATATTAACATCGATATTCCAAAATCCTCTTCAAAACAAGACCATCCGCAAATCAACTGTGATATCACGAGGAACCTTGATGCATATACTTATTTTGGGAAATTCTATCCAGCTTTCACTCATAACCCTCCTCCTCCTCCATTTCCAAGAGAGTTCTATTATCCAAATACCTGTGTCACAATGCACCAAGGTGAATATTACTACTCCAATTGTGCCATGCATATCCCTATTATAAGCCATACATATATTAATGATATTCTCGTGCATGGTTCCTAATTATATACATCTTTATATGCTGCAGATCATAAAGATCAGCCAATTGAGTTTTATGATTTTCTCCAAGTAAATACCGAGTCGAATGGAAGTGAAGTGATAGATAATGCAAGAAAGGATGAGGAGGAGGTTGATCAGGAAGCTGTGGGACAACAGATAAGCAAGGCAGCTGGTGCTCCTTTTATAGAGTTCTTGTCTGTTAATGGAAATTCTTAATTATATTTATATTACTGGTAGTAATTTGGTGTCTTGATATGAAGATGATCAATGACATCTTAGCGGACGTGTAAAACTATCATTAATCACATATAAAAACCCTAACTAGAACTAGTTCTTACCAATTAGATGCATGCATGTCAAGTACTGCATCGATATATGCACAGAAAATCATGTTTAAAGTGGGATGATCTGTAGCATATAGAAAGGAAGAAGCTGTAACGCAAATATTGTTAATGTAATATATGAAGGACTGTGCGTACGTACGTGTACGTTAGAGCTTGTGTATATGCATCTCCTGACATTTTGTATACCCTAGTTTTGACTCTGTGTGAAATGTGTGTAGTGTAGAGTTATAGTGGCTGTGCGTGACAAATAATGAAGGATATATCATATATGTCTTTCCTTTTTCTCTTCTGGTTGTCGACGACGGCCAGTGGAAATCATCTCTTCAATTCGTTTCCTAGATGCTAGATCTCACATCTCAATGCTTGGGTTGGTGAGGACTATCTAATCATATAAAATATATGTAAAAGTACAAATATATCTGAACAAAGAACAACAAAATTTCTGACTGTCATGACCGTGTTTGCCTTGGGGCCTAGGCTGTGCAACATGAATGATATTCATGGCAATGCAGCAAGCATGTAGCATATAGTTAATTAGCGGCTGGGTTTGACAAACATTGTACGGCTTGTACCTACCCAATATTCAATTATGTTTTCAATTTTTAAGAACATATATGTTGCCTGCCTTCCTGCCTGTTGTTGATCATGATTATTGGATTAATTAGCATAAGAAAAATTATTATCGGGCTGCCGGACACTGCTGGATAAGAAAAGATTACAGCAAGTTAAAATAAAAAAATTCAGACGTGACGGCAAGTTTAATTGACTTAGTACATTCATAAGTTCTTCCGGCCTAGGTTTTGCTTTTATATTAGTTTTATTCCATTCATTTTAATTATTAATTTGGTGTGTTCCGCGCTTTGAGGACAGACACTCTCCCAAATTCCGAATGCTAATATTTTACTAAATGGTCAACTCAAGACATAAGACATAAACATTAGGGAAGTCAAAGTTGATAATCCCATCCCTCCCCCCACCCCCGGCTATACGATCAATTCAATTGCAAATGCAAGGCCTCTCTCTATATATTGATTATCTCAAGTAACAATAAATATATTGTTGGCAACTTTAATGGCTAACCTTGTTCTAGAACTTGTGAATCTGATAGCTCTGCCAGCATTACTAGTTTTTGTCGTCATAATAAATCCCTCCCATGCCGATGCAGTGTTCGTGAGCATCGACTGTGGCTTTACAGGTTCCTCCTCTACTTACAAAGATGAAACTCAATAGTATGGACAGGGGACGAAGCTTACATTCATAATAAGCACGAGTCTCAAGTGTTCAATGAGTACTATAGCAGCAACACGCCCGTTGATTGGACCAGCACTGTAAGAGTGTTCCCAACTTTGAACAAAAACTGTTACACCATCCCAATTGGCAAAGCTGGGGAGAGACTTTTTGTTTGAGCAGGTTTCCGTTATTGGGATTTTTACGATAACCCTAATTATTCTGCTACTTCTCCCGGCCCAACCTTTGAGCTCCAGTTCGACGGCAACTATTGAACCACGGTTGTCTCCAAACCCTATGATATCGTTTCTTATGAGGCCATCTATGTTGCCAAGGCAAATACAACGAGCATATGCCTTGCTCAAACTAAAGATGATCAGCTGCCCTTCATATCCGCACTTGAATTGCGGAGCTTGGATTTCAAAATGTACAGCCATGTTGATTCCAATTACGCTCTGCTATTGGCAAATAGGCATACTGACCACTGTTAGGTACGCTGCTATATATCTGTTTCTTCTTATTAATTACATGTATTGCTGTATACTGTGCATTAATGGATATCATATGAATATGCCTTAATGAATTAGGTATCCAGATGATGCATATGATCGAATTTGGGTTCCGGCAAATGGTTTTATAGTTACTGAGAATGTGAAAGGGGAAGCAAGGAGCATTGATACTAGTAGTGCACAAGATAATCCTCCAGAAGCTGTGTTGCAAAATGCAGTGGAAACCATAGGCACTCTTTAGTCCTTAGTTCTGGACACCAGCGGACTTCCACAATCACAAGATCAAAATGCGCGCATCTACATGACCACCTACTTCTCTGAAGTCATTCGGCCGCTCAATTCATCCACTGACAAAAGATCCTTACAAGTATTGGTAGACGGAAACCCGTATTCGAGCACCATCGTCCCTCCTTTTGGAAGCGTATCCACTGTCTACATTACCAACATCACAGCTTATTCCAACACTAATTTCACTATTGAGTCAACTTTTCAATCCACGCTTCCTCCTCTCATCAATGCCTATGAACTCTATACTATCACTGGCCCTCTAACCCAAGCAACAACCAGCACTAAAGATGGTTTGTAAAATTCCATTCCTGTGTTTTTATTAAAATTTAATATATATAGAGTCAATTAATGCGTAGATATATAGATATTTCGTACATTAATTTTCTCTGATATAAAAATTATATATAATGTGGTGGAAGGGCTAGCAGCACTGCAGAGAGAGTTTGAGATACTACGGAAATGGAGTGGCGATCCCTGTCTTCCATCATCCTTTGCATGGGAATGGGTTGAATGCACTTATACTAGTATTCATGCCACTCCTCGCGTAACCTCACTGTAAGTGTGTACTGCTCTCTCTCTCTCTCTCTCTCTCTCTACTTTAATTCCCAAGTATATTATTAATAGTTAAATGCCAGAGTTCAATTGAAGTGATCATGTTAAAAAATGAAAAAAAAACCAGGAAACTCAGTGGCTTCGGCCTGTTTGGCCCGCTTCCAGACTTTAGTTCCATGGATGGGCTGCAAAAGATGTGAGTCGCGTATTTAATGTTATTAATACAAATGTGTAATAAGTTAACCTTGCATATATCTCATTAATTAATTTCTAAGCTTCCAATTTTCTTTTGATTTGCAGTGATTTTCACAATAACAGCTTGGATGGACCTATCCTGATTTCCTTGGCTCCTTGCCTAATCTAAATCTACTGTGAGTTTCATCAATCAACAGAACAACTATTTAGCTAACAGAGCACTGCATACACGGGAACTAATTTCTATTCTTCCCAGTGATTTGTCAGAGAATAGACTGAATAGATCCATACCCACCTCTCTTACACAAAATAAACACCTGAAATTAGTGTAAGTAAAATGTTCCTCGTCTCAACCATGAGATGTGGTGTGGTGGTAGCTCACCTCATTCCTTAACCATGTGGTTGGGGGTTCGATCCCCGCCCATGGGAATGGAGCGCATTTCGTGGCCAGCTGTTTACCTCCTTTGGAGAGCTCCCGCGGCGAAAGGGATTAGTCACTACTGTCGGCAGTGGACACCCTTGGATCTCATCCAAAAAAAAAAATGTTCCTCGTCTCATCTTATGTGTTTTGGTTCTAGATTTGGTCTAATGCATGCTCTACAAATCTGTTATGTTCATTATCTTGAAACCATTTTAATGTTTTAATATAACCTAGAGGGTTCTGTTTTTCTTTCAAATTGTTGTCAGTTTAACCGGAAATTGTCTCTCTGGAATGTCTTGTCCATCCAACAACGCATCACCACCACCACCAGCAGATTCAACACCCTAAGATTCACCGGCCCCAGGTCCATCACCACCCAAAGATTCACTGCCGCCCTCAGGTCCATCACCACATAATTCACCACCACCAGGTTCTCTACCACCCCTAGGTCTATCACCACCTGATTCATCACCAGTGGCCCCAACCAAGATGAAGCACCCCAGCACCCCCGCCCCCTTTAGGCCACCATAACTCAAGTGAAATACCCTCTCCATCAGGAGGCAAGGAATGCAGTGACAAGCCACAGATGATACTAGGCATCATAATTCACGTTTCTCTTATTTCTTTTATGTTCAGTAACTTCTGAAAGATTGCCGTGTTTGATCATCAACCACTCTGTTCACCATGAAACCAAATAATTGCTGTATATGCACAGTATGAATGTTTTCCGCAGCTTCATTCATTGTTCACCGTTACATAGTATTTCAAAATATTGTGAGAATAAATGTTTTTAATTAGGTTCAGAGAGAGAGGAAGAGATATCAATTTCTTATGCCTCTGTTAATAAGATAATGAATTTCATAACATCTAAGCAACAAAATCTCAGTTATACATTTGTTTAACTTGTACCTATCTTCAAGGGCCTCCTTACAACCATCGTACAATCTCTTCCAACCCGTTTTGATCAAGTATTACAGTAGTACGACAGTGCACCACTAACCTGGTACCAATAGGGGATTCGTACAGCAATTGTTAAAGTACAAGCTCATCTTGCAAAAGAATTTCATATATGTCTGTCCTCAGATTCAGCTCCTTATCCCGCATAACTTCTTGGAGATCTGACAGCTCTTTTGCAGATAAGGAAGAATTTAATTTGAGAAACCCATCAAGCCATAGCTTTTTTGACCTGTGATAGATATTAAACAAAGTTAACAAGCAGCAGCCAATAAACAGATCATGAAATTGTTCAAGTCGAGATAAGACCATATTCATAGCCTTGTTTGGGCAGAAATTGTTTAAACAAGATATTGTATAAGGGAACAAGATCTTACCATGGGCAGGCATGAATAGCTCGAAAGAAATTCCGCCTAGCTGCTGAAGGATTGCATGCTACCTCAAGATCTTACCATGGGCAGGAATGAATAGCTCGAAAGAAATTCCGCCTAGCTGCTGAAGGATTGCATGCTACCTTCATCTCATATGCAATGTAGCAGCGCCAAAGAACAACTGAGTTATGAAACCTATCACTTGCCAATGCCCTTTCAAACAATCCACGGATCCTATGCTGTGATCCCCCTTTACTCATCTCAAATGACAACGCAAAAAGCCAGACAACCACAGACGGTTTCCTATGGATATTTGAGGTAAAAAATAAAATATATCACACATAATGCATATGTTACCACAATTTAAATAATCATATTACAATAAAGAGGGCCAGAAGGAAAAACATCTTACTTCTGACAGCAGTCATCAAACACCCATCGCAGTTTATTAGATGTTGTATAAAGATGGCCAACCTCGATTAAATCATTTAAAAGTTCTGGGCTGAACGGAAATTTTTGAAGCCCCTGCAATATGGACTCCCAGCATTTTGATAGACTTGATTGACCACGATGTCTCCAAAGCATCTTCATGTAAAAGTTGAACATAAATTCAAGTTGATACCTACGGCTCTTTCTCTCTGCAGTTCACATGCAGTC